ATATATTTTTATGGTGGGTTTTCCCTGGGGTTACACAATTTTCAGCAAAATCCTACCTGCGGGTCGCCTCATCAATTTCAGCTTGTTGCACGTATCCGGACTTCGAACCTCCTTTTTGCCTCCCTACCAACCCTCATCATTCCTAATCAAGCGATAGAAAGAGGACGGCATCGAAATATAAATACCTAATGCGCCTTCCCAAAGGTCGCATTAAAACTGAACCGAAATTGACTTTGAAAAATGGTGTGAAAAACACAGGGAAACTCCGAGTGCAATGATGGAAAAGTTTGCATTAAATGCATTTTGCATGACTGTGTTGCAATTAGCGGCGCGGAGCAGCTGCAGAGCAACAACTCGATACTTATATTTAGAGAAATAGAAACGATACAGCCAAAAGTTTCTAAAATATATACTGCAAAGCAGCAGTTCTTATATTGTGCGCTATATAAAAACAATACCCATCCAAATTAAATTCCAATCAAACATCGTTTGTATTATTGTACCCATCACTGTAAGTCCATTGACAGCGAGATTGAAACGATGATTATTTTTGCAACGCCTCAATAATTCTGGCAGTTTTTTGTTTGCCCTTTTTGAAAAATGGTCACAAAAAACAACATCAGAGGGAACACAACCGTCAGGCAAATATTGGCTGCCAATGGGCAAATGCAGAAATGCAAACGGAGATCTGCTGGCCATGCAAGTGTAAGTTGGCCGTGTGAGATGATGGCCAGAACGGCGATGATTGCCATGGCTTCGCCGAATGCGAATATGTATATGCATACGTATATGTATATGTATATGCCAATGGTCAATGCTAATTGCCAATTATGGACAAATTCGTCCGAGCGCGAAATTAAATTAACCCCTTTTTTGTGCAGCCCCAATATCGCAGGACGAAAATCCGCATCTGAAATCCTCAACCGCGTCATCAATCAGGAGCAGCAGGCGACAAAACACAAACTACGCGATGTGCAAATATGAAATATTTATGGCCACACACATGTCTGCCTGAATTGTTTCCGAGTACATGGGGCATACGCGAATTGGTGACGGCCTTTGGTCGATCGAACAACTTCATAACCGAAAGCCCAATTAGTCGCGTCCAGTTGATGCGATTGCACAAGTTGTTAAAAGTAAAGTTAAAAATTCTTCAGGCTTTAATTGAGACAATTTTTACTACTTTGTGCAAGTAAGACATACACTACATACATACATACATACATACATACATACATACATACATACATACATACATACATATATACATACATACATACATACATATGTACATACATACATACATACATATGTACATACTTACATACATACATACATACATACATACATACATATGTACATACATACATACATACACCGGTACATACTTACATACACCGGTACATACACACATACGCCGGTACATACATCGGTACATACACTACACTCACTGCTCGACCGGTAAGAGAAATTACTTGAACTATTTTCCGACTCTAAATTAGAAGACATGCCTTACAGTCCTCACTAGAACCAGTTGGGAATTATAGGGCTACAAGAAAATATTTTTCCTAAGCAAATATTATAAGCAGCGATAATTATGTGTTCCGACAGTAAGTTAAACATTCTTCAGGCTTTATTCAAGACAATTTTTACTACTTTGTGCAAGTAACACATACACTACATACATATGTACATACATACATACATATACACACCGGGGAATTATAGGGCTACAAGAAAATATGTTTCCTAACCAAACATCTATATTATTTGTACTCTGGCAATTATTCTAGTGTCTTTGGTTTGAACTATTAACTTGGTGCAACAAAATAAATGTCATAGCTAACTAGAACAATTTCAGGTATCCGTTTTGATATCATGTAAAATTCTCAAAAAATGAAATCTATTAAAGCATGCCAAATACAGTAGCCTCCAATTATTTTACATCCATCTCAACTTGCTTATGCGGTAATGCAATTACGCAGGAGAGCAAGCGCTTTAATGGCAACATATCGATCTTCAATTATATGTTGCAAAGCGCACAGAGTGCTGGAAAAACCAAGCCCCAATGCTGCCCCAAATGAGTTAAGTGGCGAGGAGAATCGGAAATATTTTACCCTTCAGTCGCTCCCAATCTGAGCATTAAACATGTTGTATATGTGATAAAAAGTTGCCATAGTTCTACTTTCTCGCAGTGGCGGCCAGTGTAATTTCATTTCGTTTTTGTCGCGATTTTTCCAGCGCGGAAAATGCTGTCAAGTGTAAAAAATAATAACACGCATCGCGTCAGATTTTCCATGTTTGGTTATGATAATGGAAGGCACAATGAGAGCCCGTTGGATATACTTTTTCATGTGGTTTTTCCGCTGTCAGAAAGGACTTTTCAGGCACATGACACAGGCACATTGGTATTGTGGTTGGTAAATGATTTACAAAACTGTACGTAATGTCTTAACGCATCAAAGAAAATCTTTGACACAGGAAGCAATGAATTCGATTCGAAGTTTCAGCGGGAGGCCGCAAAAGGGTAATGGAACAAGCTAGGGAATATCTGATAAATGTCTGACCGACTGTTTGATACTCATTAGCTCATTTTGTACAGTCTGGCTATATTCTGCATTTGGGAAACTAAACTAGTTGCAATGTAAAGTTAGCACACATCATTGAAAGAGTGTCTTCACTCGCGATATTCAAACTCGTATCTGTTTAATACTCCTCCATTATTAGCAAATGCGCGGTACAAAAGAAAATAAAATGAAAATGGTTTTCAGCATAAATAAAATTACACATGGAATACTTTAAGGAAGGGAGTATTTTTTCTGTGTGAAAAATAAATACATGTCACTGATGTTGTGCTATTACCTTTTTAATCATGTCATTCGAATTATTTTGCGACAGGTTTTTTGTCTTTATTGCGTTTTATTTCGGAATATAATAATATTGAATAATACAGCTCAAACATTGTTGATGTGCAAAAATAAATACGAGTACAGCGCTGCTGCCATTTCCCCCAATGTAAAGAATAATTATTTTAAGTAAAGCTTTGCTCCTCCTGTCATTGTTAATGAAAATATCTTACCCAGCTGGGATTTATTCAAAGAGAATATTCCATCATGACTGTGACCTACACCTCACGTGTGAGTACCTCGAGTGTTGTCAGTAATTTCTTGGGGCTGCTGGTCAGGTAAGTACTCAATATATTGATTCCCATTTTATGCTTAGAAATAATGTCTACTTCAAAGATGGCGCGGCAGTATCTACAAGCTAGTGTGGTTAGATCTCATTGTATTCTTCGGATTGTACTGTTTGCTGGCAATTACATATCGTCTGTTGGTAAATGAGGAGGGAAAACGGTGAGTATTTATTCCTGTTCTGCTTAAGAATAACAAGCTTTGTCCAGGTTCTTTGAGGCCATCATATCGTATTGCGAGAAAAATGGTTCCCTCATTCCACTATCGTTCGTTCTGGGATTTTTCGTGAGAATTGTGATGAACCGATGGTGGGAGCAATACACCACCATTCCTTGGCCAGATGGAATTGCCATTCTGATTAGCACCAGTATCCATGGCTCCGATGATAGGGCCAGGGTCATGAGGCGAACCATCCTGAGATATGTGTGCCTGTGTCAGGTGATAGTCTTCACCATGATTTCGCCGCGGGTGAAGCGCCGATTCCCCACCTACAACCAAATCATCGAGGCTGGCTTTCTGCTGGAAAATGAAAAGAAAATCATTGAGGCCATGGATCAGGCCTTTCCAAGTTATCCGAAGCACTGGATGCCCATCGTTTGGGCAGCTAGTATTGTGATGAGGGCAAGGAGGGAGAACAAGATCCGGGATGACTACGCCGTCAAGACGATCATGGATGAGTTGAACCAGTTTCGCGGGAACTGTGGGTTTTTGCTCTACTACGATTGGATTAGTGTTCCACTGGTCTACACCCAAGTGGTCACCGTGGCCACCTACTCCTTCTTCCTCTTCAGCGTCCTCGGCCAACAGTGGAATGAAAATCATGCCGACGAGGAGGGATCGGAAATTAGGAGATGGTTTCCGATCCTGACCGTTCTCCAGTTTTTCTTTTACATGGGCTGGCTCAAGGTAGCCGAGACGCTGATTAATCCTTTCGGAGAGGATGATGACGACTTTGAGGTATTTATCCAATTGGCATCAAATAGTTTTCATACCTAAACATACAGTTCAATGCTTCGTTTCGCTGCAGCTCAACTGGATAATAGATCGCAATCTCACCGTCTCGTATTGCATTGTGGACGAGATGCACCAGGAGCACCCGGAACTAGTTAAGGATCAGTACTGGGAGGAGGTGTTCCCGAATGAAATTCCATACGCTCAGCCAAATATGCGTCAAAATCCTCCAGCAGCTTCCACGGCCTACATGGAATCACAATCAAAAGTATGTTTCCCTGTTGTATTCTCACTTATGAAGAAGCTACTTTCCTGATTTCCAGCTCCCAAAACGCCATGGATCTGTAACGTCGAATCTTAGTACCCGTTCGCGGAACAACTTCCGACAAAACTTCTTGGGAAGACCATCTGCCACTGGCAGCTACTCAGACTCCATACAAATGGAAGATGGGCCCTCGCGAGTGACCTTCAGTGAGAACCAATTCGACTTGCCACAGGATGACGCGAACAGCTCCCATAAGCCATCGCAATCCACAAGTATATTTTGCACTCTTATCCAAGTTTATTCGGGCTCAATTTTCACTTTGGTCCTTTCAGTTGATTTCAATGAGCTGATTGAGCAGCGTCGTCGCGAGCGAAGGGAACGCATTCGCCACCGATTTTTGGATATGCAAAGTACCCATCTCCGCCACGATACTTCCGGTGCGCCCTACACGATCACAGTGCTTCGCCCTCCCTCCGATGAAGAGCTGTCCGAGAGCCAGGAAGCAGGGGACAGGGCTCAGCAGGATCCATCGGGCAGCAGGGAACCCCCTCCAAATAAAACAGAAAAGCAGGACTAGAGGAAAATCCCATTGTTTCGTTATTTCTCAGTGTCGTCACTGCTCTTATTATCGTCCATGTGCTCGTCCCGTTTTCTTTGACTGATGTAGCTTCTATCGGTCTGGACCTGAGAACTCCGCTGCGGGACATTAGTCCGACTAGATTCCGCTGAATCTGCTCCATTCGAACCGAGCTCCCCCTTAATCAGCTCCATGGCGAGGGCGGTTTGTTGAATCTGCCGGTTGACTCGCTCCCGTTCCCGCTTCTCCTTCAGCCGCTCAAAGTCGTCCTTGCTGCTGGAATTTAGAGTCTTTGTATCCACCTCGACATCCATTTCTTCTCCCATGTTTAAGTCAAGGGTATCCCTACTCTGGTTGTCCAAGGAATACGATACCGACACCGAACTTCTGCTCCAAGTGAACTCGCGGCGTGCAAAGCGGATAGTAACTTCCGGATTGTATTCATCTTCGTCGTCGAAGTCGGTGAAGTCGTTTTCCAAACTCACTTCGCTTTTCGTCGAGGTCACGCGGTGGACTTTCGGGATGCCCAGTCGGGCTGTAGAGGCTTCCGGATGTTCGGCCCTTTCAGACTCCACCGCATATGGCAACTCGGCGGGAAACACCTCGTCCCAGTACTGATCCCGCACCAACTGCGGGTGGTCGTTGTGCATCTCATCAACTATCAAGTAACTGACTTGCAAGTTCCGATCGATCAGCCAGTTCAGCTCGAAGTCGTCGTCGTCATCGCCGAAAGGACAAATCAAGGTCTCGGCCACCTTCAGCCAACCCATAAAGAAGAAAAACTCCAGGGTGCTGAACAACGGAAAGTAGTAACTGACGATGTTATTGTAGTGCTTAATATCCCGGTCGATCCACTGGTGGCCAAATATTGCGGCCACGAAGTACGAGTAGACGGCCAGCGTCACGACCTGGAGGAATAATCTATAATTAGAATAATCTATATACGGTTAGAATGGAGTGGTAACCTGTGTATACACTAGTGGCACTGAGATTGTATCGTAATGGATGAGCATGTTGCAGCCAGCCCGGAATTTATTGAGCTCATCGATCATGGACTTCAGTGAGAAGTCATCCCATATTCTACCTTCCTTCCGAGCCCTTGTTACAATACTGGCGGCCCAAACGAGGGGCATCCAGTACTTGGGGTGCTTTGGAAACTTGACATCCATTGCCTTCATTATGTTTGCCTCGTTGGCATTCAGCAGGCCCACTTCAATCAGCTGGTCGTAGGTCGGAAAACGACGCTTGATAACTGGCGATATCATGGAAAGCACCATGGTCAGCGCCAGGCACACGTATCTCATAATCGTGCGTCTCATCAGACGACCATGTTCATCTTGTCCGCGCACCAAGGCGCTCACATAAACCGCCAGGGGATCTGGCCAAGGAACCGTGATGTACTGATTCCACCAGCGCTCTATAATAATGCCCACATAGAAGCCCAGCACGAAGGAGAGCGGAATCAGGTTGCTGTAGCTGTGGCAGTACATCACAATGTCCTCGAAAATTCTAGGGGGGGTAGAGGTTATGCAAATGGGAACTTTCTAAAAGCGGGTTTATTTAGCTGTACTAATCCTGCGACCCTTATAATAAACATACCCTTTTGAAGTCAATTACTTACGGCTTGTCCACGTCCCTGAGTGCATAGCGATATATTACGGCCGTGAAGTAGAAGCAGCACAGGAATGCCAGCAGATCCACCCATATTATCTTGTAGATACTCGCGCGCCACCTGCCGCATAATCGGAAATTTCAGTAACTTGGGCAATGGGCCAAGCGGAGATGCCTCACCTCATCAAGAGCTTCCAGAAGCAGCCGAAATGGCTGCATGTTGCCACCTCGGCGGTGTAAGAGACAGTCATACTCGAAAATTGTCAATTGGAAAACTTTAATAATGCCGAACGGCTGGGAAATCGACTTGGCAATGGCAATGACAATTGGAATGGAAATTTGAAGGGGAAGGAGAAACACTTGGTGAGGCCATAAGCAAAGCCAACTTTGAAATTAGTTCTAGTCTTCGGTTTGGCTCCGGGGTAATTTTCCCACTCAAGCATTAAACGAAGGCAATTTGGTAGGCGCGTCACATTTTGTGGGCGTAATTATTTAAATTAGATCATTTATATTTGCCGCCAGGCCAACAGACAACAACCCACAAAGGCCAATTTGCCACACGCCCTGGCCGCACATGTGATGAAGTCTGCTCCTGGTCCTCCTGCTCCTCCTGCTCCTTCCCATGTGTGTTTGCCTATATACGAGTATGTGGGATATCTGCTTGTCTGGCGGCATCAAGAAGGTGCAGTAAAATTTTAATACCCAGCAAACACTGTGAATACGGCAATGATGTGATTTTTCCCACTCCAACGCGGCGGAATGTGTGAAGAGCACTCCGAACGAGTATCTTATCGGCGAAATTCTGCTAATGTTCCTGTCGCTATTGGAATATATCTGCAAAATATCAAGGCTTAATTCTATATATTGGTTATAGATTTTACAAATTCAAATGAATGTGATATTACAAAATATTTAATACATTTTTAATTCGAAGCACGTGTTTTGAAAAAGTATTAGTGTTAATGAAATTTGTCTTGTGATTGAGTTGGACGTGAACCTTGTTTATTCTGTGAAGTACCAGATATAAAAGCGCAAGTGATAATAAACTCAATAAAAATGGGTTTGGTTTAACAATGTTTCTAATCAGTTGATAGATTACTAAACAGCTGGTAAAGCTTGCAACGAACTAATGTGGTGCTAAGATTTTGAGCAATAGTGTGGACTATACAAATGGCAATCAATGGAATGAATATGTGGTTAAACAGACCCATCTATACGGAGAATATCAACACCTGAGCAATGCAACCGAACTAGATTTGTTAATGGGCTTATCTGGTATCAGCAATCATATCTGCACTTACGAAATCCGGCATTCATTCACTTTCTTATATGGCCTGGGTTTACGTAATTGTAGATTTCAGGGAGATAAGGCTCATAAGGTGGGTTCTGCTAATCGAATGCAGTTTTGATTGCGTCTAATAAACTTGGAGAAAGTCAATAGAGCTTATACACTTCTAAAAATTGAAAAATTGGCACTCGACAGCTAACGACAATAAAAGCAGCAACCTCTAGACAAAAACAACATGAAACAATAGCAGTGCGAAGACGAGCAGAAAGCATTTATAATTGTGTTCGTCTGTGCGATATTATTACTGCATTCCACTATATAGACGGCCGGCCAGTTCTCGTAGCGCTCTCCATATATAGGGCCCACAATATTATCTTACACTTTCAGTTAACGCTACACACCGAAACCGTCAACAAGCGCGCTGTGCGGTAGTGCGAGAGAGGCAGCGATACGGTGCGAGAAAGAGAGAGCAGCACGAGCGGGAGAAAAGTACGAATGCTCGAAATCTAAAGCCAAATAACCGGCAGATCGGAAATGAAGCAAAAACGTGAATACAAACAGTGTTATCTAAAACAACATAAATAACAAAATTCTGGAATTGCCTTGCAGTGGCGGCGAAAGCAAAAGCAAAAAGCACAGAACAAAAATCTGTTCTTTCGCTATCGCAAGATCATAAAACCGAAAGTCGGAAAACAACAACAAAACCTAACAACAGCAATATCACAGCAGCACATCGAAAACAGAACCAGCAAGATGCGACGTCACACAGTGTGACTCAGTCCCTCTCCCTCGCTCCTGCGCCCCTCCCGCTCGCACACCTGTTAATTTTTTTGTATTCGCTCTAATTACAACCCAGATCATTCTGAAACCCTCCGATCTCCGACAAGCGCCTTATCTCCCCTAAATCCGGACGACTCGCCTTCGTCTCTTATCAGCTTACTTCGGGTGTGCACTGAGAGAATTCTTGCCCACTCTAGATTTAGATTTTCTGAGTCGATTTCAAAGAGTAAGCGTTTCTTTCTTACAATTTATTCATGGTTCTCACCTATACTTATGAAATATATTTACATATCTCCTGTGATCGGCCTTCAATTATCTGTACTGAAATTTAAATATGGTTGTGTTTGGTTTTATATTATAAAACCCAATTTTTTTTAAGGATAAGAACACTGATAAAAAAATGCCTTCATATGGAGTGAAAAAACTGTGTTTCTAATAATATAAATTACAATATAAATATTTGAAAATTATTCAAACAAAAGTTGTAATTTTTTAATTTTTTTAAAAATTATTTTGGATAGAACTATTGAAAAATGTAAACCGTTTTCATTAGCAATGCTGGTTAAAGTTTGAAATTTTGTTGGATGTCATTTTTTTTTTAATTTAAACAGTTTTCAGTAGTGATAGGAAGAAATGGATTTCGAATTATAATTTTCGAACGAACGAAATAAAGACACCCCTGCAATTTTAGATACGTTTTTCTCGCCGTGTACCCCGCTCTCCGCGTCCATGGCTGGCAGTCACTCTCCTCGGGCGGCGGGGGAGACTCGAGTTCGGCTCGCCGGCCTGGTGGTCTTATCTTAGGAGGAGTGTGCGAAGAATTCGCGGCTGTAATACGACACCAACAGCCTGCAGACAGACGCTCCCAGATCGCCAAGTATGTCGGTCCAAGTCTTGGTGTCCGTTTTCTATTGTTTTGAGTGAGGGAAAATTAATAATATACTTGCAATTCATTAATGAGAAACAGACAAAGGCGGGCGACAATATTAGCTTAGAGTGCATTGAATCAACAGCTGCAATTGGAATTGAATAGAAGTGAGGACAGCGGTGTTTCAAAGTCGGTGAGTGCGGAATCAAGTGTACCACAATTATATAAACTTAGCATAACTTTGCATTCGACAAGTCCGGCAAACTCACCTAGATCCACTTAATTATCTTCGTTTGGAGCAGAGCAAACGAATTATAAAGTTAATAATAGAAAGGCAAATAAGGCTGCACAAGATATTCTACGTAGAAACTCGAGCATCTGCTTCTTATCAAAGTGTGGAAGAGGTGTGGGTACTGTGGTTAGTCACCTCTTGGAAAAATATAATAGTGAATGATTTATAGCGGATGCACCCAAGTCCTTCGCCTAATTCTTAAAAACATGAGAGTTTTATTTGCACAATGATGCATGGCTGGGTAGAAACTGTATTTTAAACTAAAGAAATTGTATCCTTGCATAGCTACTTTACTTATAGATAATGTACTTAACCGATTCCCAATAAGCGATTGCCTTCCACACTTTCCAACGAACGGCGCCTTCGAAAACTTTTCCATTGAAGCTTCTCCACCCTAAAAACCTTGGCACATACCATACCCTACCTATGTATATACTACCAATGCTGAATTCTAAATGGAACAATCGCGTTCAGACTCACAATAGCCTCGCCATTTACGATTACATTTTGAGCTCCATTATGTGCATTATACAATTAAACGGCGTCACAAGATAAGACAATACGCGGATCGAAGTGCACTATGATCTTGTCTAAACCTCTGAAACACCCCAGCTAATTTTGTTCTTTTTAGAATTCCAGGGTTTACTGAACTCTCCGCCAATCGAGAAGATAGCTACTGAAAAATGGTTCGCCAGCTCTCGCCCTGGAAGGTTCTGACCCGGCGCAAAAATCTCCAGCCAGATGGCAGCGAGGGGGATACGAAGCTAAATCGGGTGTTGGGTCTATGGGACCTCACGGCCCTGGGCGTGGGTTCCACCTTGGGAGCTGGGGTCTACGTGCTGGCCGGGCAGATAGCCAAGGATCAGGCGGGTCCCTCGGTGATGATATCGTTCGCCATCGCGGCACTGGCGTCTCTGCTGGCAGGTGAGTTCGACTTGGTGTGAAGTAAAGCCCCTGTAAAGTGAATGAGCTGCTAATGGATTCCTAAACGAATTAAATATGAATACGAATTGTAGTCCTCCACACAATCGCAGTGTATATAGCAATTTATGAACTTAGGAGTTTCGTTTTGTGTGCCTGCAATTACAAAAATGTAGCTTCTAGCTGCACATATTTCCTAATTAATTAATATTTTGTAATTTTCATGTTTTCCTGCAGGAGTGTGCTATGCGGAATTTGGCGCCCGAGTGCCCAAGGCAGGATCGGCCTATGTATATAGTTATGTCTGCATCGGGGAATTCGTGGCTTTTGTCATTGGATGGAACCTCATGTTGGAGTACGTCATTGGCACCGCCAGCGTTTGTAGGGGAATCAGCCTGTACCTGGACTCCTTACTGAATGATACACTGAAAAACACATTCGCCGAGATTGCTCCTATGAATGTCAGCTTCTTGGGCAGCTACTTTGACTTTTTGGCCTTTGGCTTAGTGGTGGTTTTTGGCGGTGAGAGCACTGATTAAATAATTTAAGTAGAGAATGACTCTTAATGTTTCATATAAATGTTTCAGTTGCACTGGCCTTTGGTGTGGAGACATCGACTATGGCAAACAATTTTGTGACGTGCTTAAATATATTTATTTTGGGATTCGTCATAGTCGCAGGCGCTGTTAAAGGTAAATATATATATTGGTAACTCATATAATTTAACTTATCCATATGTAATTGGTATGAACGAAATTCTAGGAATTTCAAGAACGTTCTAACAACATAATAGAGTAATCAAAAGATCTGATTCCCGATTTTGTTGTTTAATTAATTAATGTTCTTTGTTCTTTCTCCAGCCGACTTTTCCAACTGGACGGTGGATCCGAGTACTGTGAGTGCGAATTCTACCATCGGAGCAGGGGGCTTTTTCCCCTTTGGATTTGAAGGCACTCTTCGCGGAGCAGCCACCTGCTTTTTTGGCTTTGTGGGATTCGATTGCATCGCTACCACGGGAGAAGAGGTTCGGAATCCTCGACAAAACATCCCGAAATCGATTCTGCTCTCGCTGCTGATTATCTTTTTGTGCTATTTCGGAGTGTCCACTGTACTGACACTGATGCTGCCGTACTACATCCAAGATGTT